TACAGTCATCAGAGCAGGGTGATGTGGGAATAAAGGTAGACTGATTTATTAAACAGAGTAGGAGATAGATCTTCTATATGACCTCTAATGAACAAAGTCAAGTATTTTTTACAAGAAAGAGGTCAAGACTATGTGATGAGAGAAGATAGGTTTTCAACAAACTGTATGCATAAAACCGAATAACCACGTGTAAAAGAACAAGTTATGACCCTCCCCCATTTATAGTGAATAGAACGCATATCATTACTCCAATTTGTACCCCCTTGATCTCTTTTTGTTATCTTACTGCTCTAGCTAGAACTTCAAGTACTATACTGAATAGATAGGGAGAGAGTGGACAGCCTTGTCTTGTTCCTGATTTAAGTGGAATTGCTTTGAGTTTCTCTTCATTTAGTTTGATGTAGGCTTGTTGTATATTGCCTTTATTATGTTTAAGTATGTTCCCTGTACCGGTGCTTTCTCCAAGACCCTTTTCTCAGTCATGATCAGGTAAAATTGATCTCAGTCATAAAGGTGAATGTTTGGAGCTAGCACATTTTGTCACTCCTTTAAACTCACTGCTACTTAACTGTCATTGAAGAACACATAGGATGGCTTTATGTTTAGTATGTTTTATAATAGTCATTAAAGATTAACAGCAAGTCCAAAACTGGCTTATACGTGGGGGTAGTTGAAAGCTGGTTGAGTGTAAATGAGGTGATATGGCAGGCTATGTGACTAAAGTGGCAATAAAAGGTGTTCCCAAACCATGAATAAACAGGTTTATACTAGTTTTTCATTTGAAAGAACACTTACAGGATAATAGAATTACTATCAGAAAGGTAATACACAGAGAGAGGTGAGGCAAGGAGAAGGAAAGGGTAAGTTGATAAGTTGAGTAATGAAATTAATTCCACACATGAGCACATATGCCAGCGTGTTATAATAGTCATTATTATTTTTACAAGGAAAAATTCACCGGCCTATGAGAGTTACAGTAATTCTCAAATTAAAAAGAAAAGATGTGGAAGAGAGATCAAAAATCCAATTAATATTCTCATTTTCTCATTCTCCTTTGTGCAGTCACTGCTACATTTATCATATTTTAATTGATAGGAAAGACGATCTATATGGACAGGCAGACACTCCCGAGACTGAACACAGAAAAATATATAGTATGGCTTGTTTATATCTAAGGGAGTAAATAAAGCCTTTATCCTTTGAGAACAACTTACTCAAAATTTGTATGCCACGGTCTTCTTCGGCTAATTCCAGCCATCTCTCTTTATCAGTTAGTAAGTGTGCATGCATAAGAAGTTAGTTGGTCTAGGATATAAATGCTTGCAATGTATTCCCTATTTCCTGATTTTATCCATGAACTATATATAAATGCCAGCTACATTATAACCTTCAAGTAGCTCAATACCAGTCCTTAAGAATGTTGTTAATATTTGCATTCTACTATAGAGCTTTGCCAGTTTATTTCAATTGCTTGGAGCTTTTAAAATAAAAATTCAATCAACATTAACAGTTAATGTATTACTCCAAAATAATCACAAAGTAGAAAGAGAAGTTGGAACCTTAAAAGTCTTCTTAAATCTAAAAGAGTAGCTAGAGGGCATAAAAATTTCCACAGAATAACAATACAATATAGTGAATTGAAATATTTTACATATGTATATCATTAAGAATTAGGGCAACCATATGCATCATTTTTCCAATTAAAAATGCTCATAAAATATCATAATTAGTCTTTAAGCTAATAATTGTTTTTCATTGTTCATCAAGCCCAGTCTTATGATTTAGTTGCTCTAAAGGCTACCAATATTAGTTTAACAACAGGGATTTCCTGGTTGGCTGATTGGCTGATTGGTGGGTCTAAGCAGCGAAAAGAGTCTGTGGCTAAGAAAAATAATGAGTTGCTAAGAAGCAAAATTGATGCATCGAGTATGCCTTAAGATTACATGATTTCTGCCATGATTAAAGAACAATTTCCTATCTGCCTCCATCCTCGTGGTAGAATGGAATCTTGTTCCTAGCTACCATGAGACTCATTGTTTCCTCTACTTCCAAAAAAGCTAGTAAAAAGAATGTGGTATCGTTGGATTTTGAACTGTCTTAGTAAGAAAGAAAGTGCATTTTCCCATTTTTATGCATACTAACATAAGCACATATTTTATAAAATAATGGAATAAAACACATGTTTATTTTTATTTCATTTAATTATGTAAATTATTTGATCACTCTATGGATTATTACCTATTATTTTTTGTTTGTTTTTGTTTTTTGAGACATGGTTTCTCTATGTAGCCTTGACTGTCCTGGAACTTACTCTGTAGACCAGGCAAGCCTTGAACTTATAGAGACCCATCTGCCTCTACATCCCCAGTACTGTGATTAAAAAGTATGCACCATCACTGCTCAGCTCTTCTATGGTTTACTAAAAAGAAGGTATAGCATGTATGTGCTTTAAGGTATATGCAACTTCTTCAAATCACATTTATTAAAGAGGCATCTCTTCTCTAATCTCTACTCTTATTTTTTTTAGATTTGTTGTAATTCCAGGGAACAGGTGATCCAAATAATGTATTAGTACCACTCAAGAGGTTTTTTATTCACCCCACTTCTACAAATATTTACAAAAGAATAGATTAAAAATGAAGAAAATGACATCTATTTATTTAATTCCTTGAAACAAATGCATTTGATTATTAAATTCATGTCAGTTTAATCATTTTCAACATCCTAACTCAGAATTTTAGCAACTCTTTCTGTGTGTGTCTGTGTGTGTGTGTGTGCGTGCACGCACAAGTGCACACATGTACAGTATACTTAAAGAAAAATGAACAGACTGGGTGCAACTGTTGGGAATTTTCTTTATGTGTTTATATCTATTATGAGACAAATCTCTTAGATGTACTGAAGACAGTATTTTATTGCATTTAAAATACACACTGTGGGTTAAGTGATTATTTTTTATCTCAACATACTTTAGTATATATTTAGTAAATATATTATCTTTACCCATATAAAAATATGGGTAATTTACTGACAAATTAAATATATTGGTTTGCAATATAAATGTGTAAATGTCCATTGAATGAGAATTTAGCTCTAATGTGCCATGTTGTTACATACAGGTCTCCAATGAGCATCAACAGAAAGGGGCTCCCACCAGGACTTTGGGGCTCTGTAATTAAGATAGGCTGGCAAGCCTGCAGAACCTCAGGAATCCACCTGCTTCTACCCTGGGGACACCTATCTTCCTTAGCCAGTATTGTGATTGATTAAACACAAATGCTGCCGCTCTGATCTTTTTAGATATATCCTGGGGATAGAACTGCAGAGGCTGTGCTGTTAAGGCAAGCCCTTTATTGACTAAGAAAGCTTCACAAACTTCATCTGTAAATATACTTTAGATTGACATTCAAGGTAAACATGGTTTATTTTTTAGATAATGTTGACAATTGATTCTAAACAGACTATTGTAATAGAACAGATATGTGAAGGAATTTATTGGACTCTTCATTTCTATGTAGGAACTTAAGCTCTTCATAAACACAAGTGAAGATTTTTCAGAAAATTATTTAAGTATACAAGTTATATGCATGTACATGATGAGTCATTTCATATCCATGTGGGTAACTACTAATTTATTATTTGCATCAGTAATTTAAGATATTAGTTCATTCCTTCTGTCCTCCATTCTTGATTTTTGAAGAGCTAAAGAATAAATCTAGAGCTTCCATCATGTCAAGAAAGCATTCTAGTGATGAAATGTATCACAAGCGCTATATCTTTTTTTTTTTTTTTTTNTCTCTGTGGCTTTGGAGCCTGTCCTGGAACTAGCTCTGTAGACCAGGCTGGTCTCGAACTCACAGAGATCCGCCTGCCTCTGCCTCCTGAGTGCTGGGATTAAAGGCGTGCGCCACCATCGCCCGGCTTATATCTTTATTATTATGATACAATCAAGAAGGAATTGGACTTTGTCTGTCACATGCATGCTCCCTAGTTGGCTGTTAAGTGTCTGTGATCTCCTATGAGCCCAGGTTAATTGTTTCTGCGGGTTTTCTCATGATGTCCTTCACTCCTCTGGTTCCTACAATCCTCTTTGGCAGGATTCACTGAGCTTGGCCTATTATTTGGCTGTGGGTCTTTGCATCTGTTTCCATCAGTTCCTGGATGAAGCCTCTCTGATGACAACTGGGCTAGGTACCAATCTAGGAGTATAGCAGAATATCGTCATACATAATTACATTGACTTTTTTTCTTGGTCGTGTTTAGTTCTATTCTAGGCCTCCGGGCCATTCAACCTCTGGGTTCTGGTGCTCCAGGCAGTGCCATGGTTGGGCTCACTCTCATGACATGGGTCTCAGGCTGGACCAGTTATAAGTTGGTCACTCTCACCTCTGTGCCACCCTTATTACAGTACAGTACATCTCATAGGCAGGACAGACAGTAGGTCGAAGTTTATGTGGTTGGTTTAGTACCCCAATTCCTCCTGTGGAAGTCTTGCCTAGTCACTTCAATTCAAACTTTTGGGACTCCAAGCAACAGGATCAGGGGCTGTCTTTGACTCTTTTGCTGACTTTTGGGACCCTAATCCTCATTTTCGTTACCTAGCCCAACCTTAATACAAGTGAAGGTTTTTAGTCTTATTGCAACTTGATATGCCATGTTTTGTTGATATCAGTGGGAGGTCTGCTCTTTCCTGAAAAGAAATGGAGAAGTGAATGAGGGTGCAGAGGGGAATAGGGCTGGGGGAAGGGTCTGGGATAAGAGCAGAAAGGGGAAATTGTGGTAGGGATGTAAAATAAATAAACACACATTTAAAAACTAATAAATTAAAAATTTTGGACTTTGACTAATGAAATCTAAAACAATATTCTAGATCAAATGAATATAAAATTAACTATGACTCTTTAGAAAAAAATTGGAAACTTGACTTGTGGTAAGAAGTAAAATTTAATTATTCCCTGTACTGATATATTAAGACACTCAAGAATCCATTCAGGGTCCCCGTCGCTCGCTGCAGGAACATGGCGGGGTCGGTGGCCGACAGCGACGCCGTGGTGAAAATGGATGATGGGCACTTAAACAACTCCCTGGGTTCTCCAGTTCAAGCCGACGTGTACTTCCCACGACTGATAGTTCCATTCTGTGGGCACATTAAAGGTGGCATGCGACCAGGCAAGAAGGTATTAGTGATGGGCATCGTAGATTTCAACCCAGAAAGCTTTGCTATCAGCTTGACCTGTGGCGACTCGGAAGATCCCCCTGCAGATGTGGCAATTGAACTCAAGGCTGTCTTCACAGAACGGCAGCTCCTCAGAAACTCTTGTATCTCAGGAGAAAGGGGTGAAGAACAGTCGGCGATCCCTTACTTCCCGTTTATCCCAGACCAGCCATTCAGGGTGGAGATTCTTTGTGAGCACCCACGTTTCAGAGTATTTGTGGATGGACACCAACTTTTTGATTTTTACCATCGTATTCAAACATTATCTGCAATTGATACCATAAAGATCAATGGGGACCTCCAGATCACCAAGCTTGGCTGATGTTTAGAGCGCTTCTATTTCAAATCCGATCAGGTGCCACGACTACATGACTGTCTGAGAGAAGTGTCCTAGCAAAATCTGGAGACTTAGAAAGAAAACAAAAACGAAAGGCAGACTTCGTGCAGTGTAAGTCCAGAATGACAGCTTCCTCTGGAAGAAAGCTCGCCAGAAAGACATCGAGCCATCGTGCCCAGAACAAAGTAATACATTTATGCTGGATTTTATTCAGACTAAACTAAAACGGATTTGTGATCTGATTTGTGATTTGGTAGCAATTATTCATCATTTCAGAGCAAGATGATATTTAGGAACAAAAGTGCTAAAGACCTTAAAAAACAACAACGGTACATCAGATCGATGCATTTTCTGCACGAAAGTGGAATTGCGTAGCACAACCGACATTTTAGTCAGGGTATTTACATAGAATGTAGATTGTGCAAGGTTTGGTTTCTTACGCTTTCTTGGGGGTTGTTTTGGGTTCGTTCTGTTTGTTAGCACAGCATCATGTTAACCTGGATTCTTACACTTCCTCCGTTATTTATTTATATTCAGTGTATGTATTCATGTCCAGATGATGAACTTAGGTCTGAGGAGGAAGATTATGTATTCCAAGCATAAACAAGTGGATTTATACCTTAAAGAATTTGAGCATACTCTCCACTCCCTCAACTTTGGCTTTCTGACTTAAATTGCTATAAGTGCTTTTGGGGAAAATTTGCAGCATTTCAATAAAACTCCAGTTTTTGTCGACGAAAAAAAAAAAAAAGAATCCATTCAGCCATCACAAAGACCTTTCACACACAATGATTTTTCTAGGAACTTCTGAAAATATCTCATCTCTGTCACTGGCACACAATGTGAGAGAGGAAACATCAAACTGAACTTTATGTACTTCACTCTTATTTCCTGAAATATTTTTTTTAACTCTCAAGATATCATGTAATAATAACCATGCAAATATAGTATTTTAGATGATATTATGACAAATAAGTTAACTTTCTATTGATTCATGTTGGAATGTTTCACAGTTTAGATATTATCAAGTATTTATTGCTTAAAATATTTTAATTGTAGACTCTGCTGCTGTTGTTTGTTTTGTCGCTTCCTCTTTTCACCAACAAACATGTTTCTTTACATTAGGTAATTATAGATCTGTTACAAAATTTAGGACACCTAGAAGTAACTATTTTAAAAGTTGAAAACAATCACTTTGCTTTCTAAAATTCAGAAATATGACATTTACATATCATGTATTATAAAACAAGTATATGAACACAATACTGTAACCCAATAATAATTGGCATCTATCATGCACAAATCTATTCTGAAAATAATGTATGCATGTCTTTGAAATGCAAGCATATATATATATACACACAAATGCAAACACAGGAATAAATGTAATTTGTTTAGAAAGTTATTGTGCATTCATTTAATACCCAATGTTTATTTGCTGAGTCACGAAAGTGTACATGCTAGGTGATGGCTTGTGCATTTCTCTCTATTCCATAGAGTTTTGGAAACACTGTGTCCTCATAGTGTCCAGGTCTGCCTGGAAAATTCTGCCTAGATCCAGGCTGTTTTCAAACCTGAGATCATCTTTGTTTGTCCTCCCAAGTGATGGATTTACCTATATGTTACCATGCCAAAGTTATTCTTTTCTTGAAAGAGACATTTTAGAACATTATAGTGAATTGAGGGGCCATTCATTTGTTCATCAAAGGAATCCTGTAATAATCACCAGCTCTAGAACCTGGTGATTCTAGAATGAAAGCTCTTTCACTTTCATTCAAACCAATTCAGAAAAATACACGAATAGTAAATATATTGTTATCATCAAAATATATTAATGAAATAGTCTGTTATTAGTGACAAATATTACTAGCATTAAAATGATTTTACTTAAAGAATATCATTGTGTAGCTAAAAAAACACTATTTACGAGCCGGGCAATGGTGGTTCATGCTTTCAATCTCAGCACTTGGGAGGCAGAGGCAGAAGAACATCTGGGGGTTCGAGGCCAGCCTGGTCTACAAGAGTTAGTTCCAGGACAGGCTCCAAAACCTACAGAGAAACCCTGTCTTGAACTCCCCCTCCAAAAAAATAAAACAAACAAAAAAAAACTATTTTTACATGAAAGTGTGATCTATAATGTATTTGGAAACTTGACAACTTCCTAAAATCTCAGAACATATATTTTTTGATTATTGAGAATGTTTCACAAAGACTATAGGGTGATAAAGCTAGCACTAAATATTCTGATGTTTATTGCTTATATTTAAAATATGTTTAGCTATGTAGAGCATTTTACAGTCTGTCACATAAATTTTTCAAGAAGTGAATTTATCTTCCATTAATGAAAACTGAACAAGCATTTAAATACAACAGTATACATTGCTAAAACCAATAATGAATAATTTGCATAGTAGTATGGAAAATTAAATGAAAGACCTTGAAAATACTAGGCAAGTGCTTCATCACCAGCTATAGCCATGCCCAAGCGTAAATAATTTTAAAGAGACAAAGAAGTATGCAATAAGTTGGCTAATTTTGTGCCCATATATATTTTTCCAAATGAAGCTTATGATGCCTTCTTAGAAATTTATATGAAAAAAAAAACTTATGAAATACCATGTTTGGTATTCAGAAAGATAGAGTAAAACAAAGATGACCTTTTTGGATTAAAAGCTTAGTAGTCTTTGGAATCTTCAATGCCTTTCCAAGTAATGTATTTGGCTTTATCTGAAAAGAAAATACTCCATATTTCTCAGCTAAGGCTGGTTATTTGTTTGATAATCAGCAAGAACCAAGTTGGTATAAAATTCATACAGTCATAGCAGAAGTCATGAGACATGGAATTTAATAACACACAAGATTTCACAGCACAGGCAAACTTACCCTTCTAATCTCACATCCGGCAGACTTCGGTTAAGGGCAATCAAGTCACTGGCCATGAGGTTAAACTGATTGATTTTAAACAACTCCTTCATTTTCTCTTGGTCATCTTTTGGAATAAGGACAGCCTTTCCCATTTCTCCTGGACCTTCTTGATTTCTTGAAATAACAGCTGTAAGACACCACACAGATACAAACATACAGATAATGAAAAGAGTAAGCTCATATCTTAAATAAAATTCTGTTATGCATTATTATCATTTAAGGGTATAATACCACAGACTACTCTTTACAAACTATGTGTTACACAAAGAAACTCTCTCTGCAATGTTCCAAGTATAAACATAGCATATAACCCAATCCATCTTTAATATTTAATAGTGAAACAACAGAAATGTCACTTAACTAGTTTTGTGTTAAGTTTATAACATATTTACCTGAAACAGATGAAGTTGAGAGATAAGTAGACAAAGTGCCTTTTGTAAAATATGCTAAGTTAAATTGTCTACAAATCCTATTAAAACTTGATGTTTCAACGCATCTTTTACAATTACATATTTACAAAAGCAAGGAAGATTGCTAATCCTTTAAAACATTTTGAGAGAGCTTGAACGGGGTTTGAGAATGGTATAATATGATTTCAGATCAAATGTCAAATGACCTAGGTGCATCGTACGGGAATGCTCCAGTGAAATATCAGGGCTTGACAATTCATTAGCAGAACATTGGATTTGACATGAACACAGATGTTCTTGCTGGTTATTCAAAATAATATATTAAATTGCATCAGTGTGTGTGCGTGTGCGTGTGTGTAATTGATAACAGAGAGGGGGGGAGCAGACATGCTTAAACCACAATGAAGTGATTCTAGCTGTTTTAAATGAACCTTTAACACACTACTCATCATTGATGTCCTTATACTAAATTAAAATAAAGTGGACTTCGGACAGGGAATCGGGTAGCCTAACTGCAGCTCATCATCATCATCATCATCATCATCCTCCTCCTCCTCCTCCTCCTCCTCCTCCTCCTCCTCCTCCTCCTCCTCCTCCTCCTCCTCCTCCTCCTCCTCCTCCTCCTTCTCTTCCCCCTGGTGTTACTTCTCCATTTTGAGTCGCCTTGATCTCCTTTTATTGTCTTATTGCTATAGACAGAACTTTAAGAACAATGTTTAATAGATATGGAGAGAGTGGACAGCCTTGTCTTGTTCCTGGTTTTAATGGAATCTCTTGGATTTTCCCTCCATTTCATTTGATGTTGGCTGTCGGCTTGCTGTATATTTCATCCTTTCCTTCTTTTGTGTTTTCTCTCATATTTGTCTGCCCATCCACTTAGGAAGGCCCACTTTCTTTTTCTGTTTTGGTTCACCCACGAACTCCACATAAGGACTGACCTCCACCCCTCAGGAGGCAGAACCAAGTCTGGGCTCTTGAATACCATCTGCAATCTGGAGACACAGTGCGGGGAAATGATTGTGGCCTGAAGAATCACAGAAGTTCCCCTCTAATCANTTACCCTCTGCCAACTTTTCCAATTCAACCCTCTTCCCTACCCTACAGACTTTCTATTCTTTTTCTCTCTTTTCATCTATCAAGTCCAATTTGTACTATCCATATACTCTTGGGAATATGGCTTCCCACTGGCACTCAGTTGAGTTACCAGGAACAACACTCTTTAAAGAAAACCGATTCTTTCACACACAGCTATCAATTGCCAATAGCGCCTCAGCTTGGGGTAGAATTTCATGTCCCACCTCTGTTCTCCATGCTGAGATTTTGTGTGTCTTCAGTTTTCTCAGGTCTTGGGCATGCTGTTACAACTGCTGTGAGCTCATATGCACATATGCAACTTCCCTGCTGTGTCCAGAAAACATACTTTCCCTGTAGCTGCTAAACTTTTTTTTTTTTTTTTTTTTGCTTTCTAGTCCATCTTTTTATGCTCTCATTGTGTGTCTTGTTAGCAGGAAGACTTCAGTAGTAGCTTCCCTCTAGCATCAGGATAAATTCCTTGAAACTTTGTTCCATATGCCCCTATCGTGTGGCCAACTCATCTCTGTAGCTGTAGTCGGTCATCTGTGCTCCTAGCTAAGCATGGCTTAATGCTTCTATTCTTGTTACTATTACCAATAGCAACTACTGCTACTATTGCACAGCTCTGATGTTGCCATGACTACACAACTCTGATAACTATCTCCTAATGACATTTATTGGATCCTTAGCCAAACACCATGCTTAAACACTTTCCATCAACACGACAACCCGACAACCACTGACCACCTGCAGTGTGCTCGGTGCAACAGCAAGCATCAAAAAGAAAAGCAATGGGCACTTCTATCTACACTTTAGTCCTTGCTGTAATCAACATCACTGTACAGAGGAGAAAAGTGAAGCAGAGAGAAGTGGAAGGGCCTGTGAAGTAGCTTGGGTATAAACTGTAGCTTCCAGACATTCATGTTTTTGGAGGGGTATGTCATTTCTTCAACTTACTTCTCCATTCTGATCCATTAGCCAAAACTCCTTGAGAGCTGGGCCCACAATGGCCCTGGGAAGAGCCTTTACAATTCAGTCCTGGATTTGTAGTAAAATGATATATAAGTCAAATATCCAGCGGCCTTTCTTTCTAGAGGCCTCAGTGTCCTGGTAGGGTTTCTATGAGGTGTCCAGGGCTCTTCCCTTTTCTCCATGTTAGGCATCTTCACTCTCTAAAATAAAAGACAACATGCCTCACTCTCAGCTTCTAGCAGGAGACTTCTTTGATTCACCTGTTCCTGAGAGAATTAATGTCCATTTTAAATTCAGTTGATAAGATGGTAAGATGGCATCATTAAATCCTGCATTTATTCTTCTCTCAGCTGTGCACTACGACATGCTGAATTTGCAAACATGGTCTTCTGCATTGCATTAAAGAAAAGACTGGTGATATTTGTTTGAAATTAGATCACCATGATCAATTTGAATAGAACTGATACAGCCTGCTTCCAAATGTCCAGGGGACCAATGGGAATAAATGAGGCATGGAGAATGATCCTGTGCATGGAACACCATAGAAAAATGTTCAAGTAAATTCAGGCCTAACACAAACATGAACTCAGTCTGACCTCTTTCACAGGCACTGTTCATGGAACTTAGGTGACATGTGCTTTCATCCTCTCTGATTTTAGATTTTATTTTGAGTTGAATCTTTTATATTATTACATTTTAAAATATTTACCTTATTTTAATTGTGTGTGTGTGTGTGTGTGTGTGTGTGTGTGTGTGTGTATGTCTGCATGCATGGTCCCGCCTATATGTCTTTCAATGATTCAATGACTTTCTGGGATCCTGAAAGATTTCCAATACCACTAGCATCCCCTACAATCCACAGGGACAAGCCATTGTAGAAAGGACCAACAGAGCTCTTAAGGACCTGTTGGCCAGGATTATCTTGCCAGAGGCTAAGAGAGTTCCTCATCTGGATTTAACAGAGGTCCTTTCCCCACATGAACTTTCTCAGATTTGATGACAAGGAGCTCAGCCCAGCTTACAGCACTGGGCATCTCTGCCAAGGTACACACCTGCCCCTGGTGAGATGGAGAGATCCTATCTCCCTCCAGTTGCAACAGGCCAGGCAAGCAGGTAGGAGAGCTTCACATCTTTAATCTCTCTCCTCTCCTTCAAATCTAGTCATCCAATTTTACACTCAGACATAGCAGACTACCTGTGATGGCTTCTCCTAACTCTGTGCCCCCATTCCTAGGGTAATAAGCAGATCCTAGTGGGGCACCCTGTTTTCTTCCCATCTGTTGACCACTTGCACACCCCCAGCACATCTTCATCCCTCAATATTTAGGAAATTATTTTACACAGGAACCCTAGTAGCCATACCTCACAAGATCTCTTAAAAGAAAACACAGAGTCATCACATACACCTAAGAAATAGAGACGACAACAAAACACAGGAAACAAAACACCCACCCCCAACCAAGATAAGACAGGTCATTAGCACCTAGAATGGTGATCTTCCCAAACCCAAATGCCAAGACGATATAGCATGCAAACACAATTAGCAACAGGCAGAACAACACGGTCCATTAAAGTCCAGCAATCCTACTGTATTATAGGTCCTGAGAATAGAAACAGCAGAATCACAGTACGAAGTCCATAATATACCCTTTATGAAAATCCTCAAAGTCTTGAGAAGAAATTAATGAATCTCTTAAAGAAAAGTATATTGAAACACAACCAGTGAAACAAAATGAATAAAACAGTTCATGACCTGAAAGGAGAAATAGGATCAAAAAAAAAGAAAAGCCAAATCGTGATAAATTGCAAATGAAAAACTTAGAAACACAACATGAATCTCAGAGCAAGTCATGCTACCAGGATGCAAAAGATGGCAGAGAGAATCACAGGCAGTGGAGACACAAAAAGAGGAAATGGATACATCAGGGAAAAGGCGATGTTAAATCTAAAAATATCCTGCCACAAAACATCCAGGAATTTTGGAACGCTGTGAAGAGACAAACACTGAGAATAATAGGAATAGATGAAAGAAAAGAAATTCAGGCCCAAGGCAGAGAAAATATTTTAAAAAGAATAACAAAAGAAAATATCCTTACCCTAAAGAAAGAGATACCTATAAAGGTATAAGAAATGGACAGAACACCAAATACATTTGACCAGAAAAGCAAATGATGGAAAAAGTATTTTGAACGAATTGACAAAAAAGCAAGCTCTTGTAGCCATTTTAATATCTGACAAAATAGACTTCAAACCAAAACTAATCAGAAGAAATAGGAGAGGCTACTAAATTCCCATCAAAAAGAATACCCTCAGAGGGCATTACAATTCTTACCATCCATGGACCAAACATACAGGCACCAGAGTTCATAAAAGAATCACTATTATAGCTTAAGTCAAATAATGAATCTTACACACTGAGATCGGGAGACTTCAATATCCCACTCACAACAATAAACAGACCATTGTAATAAAACTAAACAGAAAAATGCTGGAACTAACTGATGTTATAAAACAAATGTAGTCTATTCTCATTAACAAATATGTCATATATATAAAACTAAACAGAAAAATGCTGGAACTAACTGATGTTATAAAACAAATGTAGTCTATTCTCATTAACAAATATGTCATATATATAAAACTAAACAGAAAAATGCTGGAACTAACTGAT